GCTCATAAGATAATTTAACTTACAAAAACTGACGAATTTAACAATAATTTCGCGAATTCAAATTGTGATGATCTGACAATTAACTAAGCACGTAATTCCTCTATCACGTTTTAAGGTATAATATCTGAAGTTCCAATACAGTTGTAGAGTCATTAGGTTAATTGGAAGCAGAAAAGATGAAATATATGCAACCGCCTTCGCCGGGAATCGAACCACGGACCTCTGGAATACCGGCCCAGCGTGCTACCGTTACACCACGAAGGCACGCTAGGGAAGTGTGAGAAATACCTTATATACTCCCCTTTTTTTTAAAGGGCGACTAGGGTTTTAAGGGACCTAGTCGCCAAATACTGGGTGCGGAGAATCATCATCCACAATTCTTTTAGTTCGGGCGCCACTTGTAGAGTCATTAGGATAACTGGAAGCAGAAAAGATGAAAAATATGCAACCGCCTTCGCTGGGAATCGAACCACGGACTTCTGGAATACCGGCCCAGCGTGCTGAACCACTACACCACGAAGGCACCCTAGGGAAGTGGGAGAAATACCTTATACAGTGAACCGCGTTATATCCGGGATAAGCTGTAGTTTTATTGTTATGATTATGAATATTTTGAATGGCAACAGAGCAGTTATAAAAGCAGTTTGACGGCGGAAAAAGCCTCAAAGAAAATGAATTTTATAGCTCTTTGGAAATTTAAACATATTGTTAATTCAAACTTGTCTTAACATAGAGTAGAAATGAATAAATTATTTATTAGCATCAACTTTGGTCACCTGCTAGTTAGAAAAAAGCAAAATGCTGAGTTATAATTTGTATTCAGTTGAATAGAGGTGGGCTATTTTACAAAAACTTTCAGCATATTAAATTAAATAAATTTATGATTTCTGAATGTTGAGTTTTTACAACTTGCTAAATATTTTATCTGAGTAAAGGCGTATTGAAAAGGAAGTTGCAAGAACCTTAGCTGCAAACATTCATTTTGTACATTTAAACAATGGATACGGTTTCTTGGTTGGCGGCTAAACTAACTGAAACACAATTAATAAACATTCAAGAGCGATATGTAATACGAAATTTATACATATTTTTTAGCTTTTTTTCCCCTCATGAACAACTCTTTACGACTACAGGAGTGAAAAAATGAACAAATCAAAGCACTAATATTATATCGGCAATGATCGTTTTACACATTTTTACTAAAGATAATGATACAATTTTGATACTAACAAGATTTCCTAAATACACTACGAGCTTCTAAAAAATCATTATTTCTGTGTGCTCAAACTCAAACTGAAAGGAAGAGGAAGCTAAAATTCCCCTCTTACCTGTCTGGCCTTCTAAGAAGACTTAATGAACGGTTCATTTATTGATTATAAACATGACAATATGACTGGTTCAGCTATTCGTTGTAAAGAGGAATCTGGCTGTACAAATAGCATAAAATCATTTGCAATTACTTTTTACAACTATTTTACTAGCTTTTACCTTGAAGAAGTTATACAAGCAGCTAAGTACTTTTAACTGAAAGCTAAAGCATTTTCCAGTAACTGTTCTTATCCGCTTGGAAATGAATAGGATCTAACGAAATCTTCCCTTTTTAATTATTTTATCAACAAATCTGATCATTTTATTTACTTTTATTATAGATAATGATACGATATTGAAACCCTAATATAATTTCTAAATACCTATGGGCGCTCCCAAAGCAATTTGGAGAAGTTTAAGAAAAACTTCCGCCTTATTTGCTTCCCTTTCAAATATTATATGACTAAGAATAGCGTACGAATGTATGTTCCAAATATATTTAAGTAAGTTTGTTGAAAGTGTCTAAGATTTTGAGTATTTCAATTTACGTATTTATTAAAAAAATACGGAGGATATTTTTAAATGTTGTTCTTTATTAAAAGAAGAAATATTTAAGTAATTAAAATATGCTAGCAGCTTATTCTAACGGTATACACTTAATGATTTTTACTAACTTAAAAAAAGACTTTTGTTACTAAATTCAAATTCAGGCAAATTCAGATAATTAAATATATGCGGAAAAGATGTTGCCTATGGACTTCATATGCATCTAATGCAGATGTTTATTCTTTAAATTTGCACCTACATACATTTAGCCCTAATCTGCCTGAATTAGCTGAACATAAACACAGAATTCTTGATGGAACTCCTACATGAAAGGGCCCACTAACGACCGAGCGGTTAAGTCGCTGAACACTGGTAGTTCGGTCCGAGGTTCGAATTCCGCGAACGGGCTGGCTGCATGGGTGTTTTCGTGGTTTTCCCCATGCGTAACGTGTATACGAGTCAGTTTTCCTTAGAAAATCCTCCACAAAGGCATCCCTCCCTTAGGCAGATAGCACTCGAGGCTTTGCCGTAATTAAAATAACCTAACCTAACCTCCTACATAAAAGTATTCAGCTTAAGATTTGTACACGGAACTTCTACATGAAAGTATTCAGCCTAATCTCTGTAAAGTCATCAGGTTTGACGAAGTAAGAAACATGCCCTAGGTCTTAGTCGGGATTAGAATTCGGGATCTCCCGATTTTTAGCCGAACGTGCTTCCAGTTACGCCAGGAAGGCAAGTGGTAAGGAGAACGAATATAACTTACAGTTTTTTACACTACCGTGCAAGGAAGATTATATCAGGAAAAATATTCCAATTCAAACGTTACATAAATTACGAAAATAATGTTGTTGGCTGAAATATAAAAATAAATATTAGAAATTAACTATTAGAAAAATAAGAAAATTTGATTTTAAACTAATGAAAGGAAGCAATATGTGCTTTCTGTAATAACGCTTTTAGGTTTATTTAATTTCAAAGTTAGCCAAATTAAATTCTGCACTCGGTTTATAATGTAATATACTATTTGATCTTAATAAAAGTAAAGATATAAAAATGTGTAATTTAATACTACATATAATTTGACATAAAACATATTCACAAAGCAAATTATGTTGCTAAAATGTGGCATAAATTACTAGCATCGATAGGAATTTCCCTTTAACACAAATTCCATATGGGTGATAATCAGTGCGATTAAATAAAATGATACATCTGATACATTTTTTTAAAGTTTTGTTATAAAAAGATAGCACAATCAAATGCTTAGGCATTGAATGAAATTTTAATAACTGATTTTTATTAATTTCGATTATCTTGTAAGGAAGTTTCGTCTTTCTCACTGCGTGTCTTTGTGGTGTAATTGGTAGCAGTCAGCTGTCAATCGGAAATTCGGAATTCGAATACTGGCTAATGCGTAGTTGATTTCTCATATTTCTTTCTCTGAAAAGTACCACATAGATCTTACAATCTCATTTTCTTACGCTAACTGTTGGATGAATTACAGTTATTCCTACAATTTATTGTACTTGTTTAACGTGATTTTGCTTAGTGCATATAAAAATTATGGATTAGTTAATAACGTTAATCAAAGTTTTTCTGTATTACTGTAACAAAATAAGGTTTATTGTAAAACATATAACTCATAAATTAAAAACTGAATGTATGAATACTGAATCATAAATTAAAAACCATGGGGGATTAAATTTTAATGGAAAATATTAATGTACCTTGCAGTGGAAATAACAGTATCTGACAACATTTAGCTTTTGAATTTATTTTGAGAAGCGAGATTTTATTAAAAATTTCAAGTGTAGGGACAATGCTTGCCTGAAGCAATGAACGAGTGTGAAATGCAGAAGTTTCATTTACTGTTCAACTCCCCGTTGCTCGGCTGCCAGTTTAATGTAATACATTTGCTGTATATTTACGTTTATGACATTTCTACACTATCGCCATATGGCGTTTAAAATACAAATTTCTTTGGAAACGAAGCTTTCTGGATAAAGCGCATTCCATTCATTCCATTAGATACACGCGTCTCTTTCCGATTCATCCATTCTCACGCAGCTAACCGGATACTGGACATAAAATTCATGTCACACAGTGAATTTTATCGCAGTCCGTTAGGGAAATTCATTTTACATCCGCAATTCTGAGAGGGTGGGGGAGAAATAGGGCATCTGACTACATTCGCTAACCTTGTCCAAGCATATCTAATCTAAAGTAAGTCCCCCCCCCAAGAAAAAAGACTTGTCTTCGAAATTTGAAAGTGGCCTCTTTTTAACCTTTATTTCTCCATTTACTTTCTAATTAGAACCATACTCTGAACTGAACGCTAGTTTGAGAGTTATTAGTTACTGTATTTGTATACCAATACCCTGTTCCTTAAGCTAAGGGGGAAGAACATGCCAAATGAATCTCTATTCGTCATCCCCGTCGGCGGTGGATACGGAGCTGTCGAGGCTTAATGTGGATTTTAAAGAAATTTACTTATTTTTTTATGATAGGTATATCCTATATTAGAAGACAAATATACATACTCATGTAAAAGAGGAGCAGTCTTAGCAGTTCCTAATTCAGTTTTTGCCAGATAAAACAAATAAAAAACACAAAAATTTTGTAACTCATTTCCACAGTAGTGTCAGACATAAATGAGTGTCTTATGAAGAAAACTGATACTCGATGCTGCACTACTACCAAAATATTCATGAAGAGGACATGTCATAAATCTCAGAATAAAATGATGAAAAACATTGTTATACTGTCAGCTAGAGAGCTGACCACTTCCTGTTGACAAGGTGGAATGAAGTTTCCAAAACTGAATGACCTGGGGTTTTTCTAAAACAAAAAAAGGGAGGAGGGGAGAGGAGACTTTTAAGTAAAAATAAATTTAAAGCAAACTAAAACAAACCTGAAAAGATTGTTTAACAATCCAAGTTTATCTAAAGGCTAAGATTTTTCATTTAAAATCGCGAAAGATTTTTCATTTAAAACTGTCACATTTTCGAAGAATTTTTTTTTCCTTCTTCCTAAAAACTGCAATTATTATTACTATTATAAATAACGCAAATGAAAGTTCTTAAATATAATCTCGCTTTCTTTAATTTTATTGCGAAGTTTTAAATAACGACTTATGTATACCACTTACCTTTCATCATTATTTTTGCTGCCTCTGGGATCTCTTGGAGGATTTTCCTTCTTATCAGAAGTTATGCCCCACGTTTTCGTAGTCCCGCAATGATCAGAGATTTTCTCTTCAGACAACCAATCACATGTGGAATTAGCATAATCTGGATCACACTGGGCGCTTGTTTCGTAACCTGAATCTTTTGTCAGCTTTCTAGGGGATCTCGGCTGCTTTGTATTCAAGGGATGCTCATCTTGATCAACGGCAGATGCCACGTCCCAATCTCCAGACATGCACAGAGACCGAGAATGAAGACTTCTTTTAGCAGCTGTTAATTCATCATTGGCCACCAGTTTCGCAGCCAGACTCCGGCGTTCTCTTGCTAAATTTCTTTGGGATCCCCATTCACGGCGGATTTGAGGCTGCTCAGATTTAGTTGTAGAGCCTGGGGTGCATAAAGTCGCAGCCTTCTCCCCTGGTGATAAATTAGTAAATTCCAACCCAGATTTGTGGCTCACCTGTATAAATAAAGTATTTTATTTGATTTGACAATAAAACAATACGATAAAAACAAAATAAAGTTTGTTTGAAAAATTTCAATGGTTAAATACATTTGCAATAGGAGAAAAGCATGTTGAATTAACTACATTTCTCTTATTTGAATCTTAAATAATATAAACAGATATAGGGGGGGAGCTTCCAATTTAAAAAATTTAACCAAGACAGACTACTAGGTTTATAAGCTAAAAATGTGGCAATTAAAAGTCAATGATTTTCATTGTGTGTCACTTAGTCTCTCATCTACAAATTTATCTTTCCAGATAAATATTCCATTTGCTGCCTTCTCCAATATCAGCCTATTTTAATTCACACGAAAGAACTGATATACTAGTAGCCCCTTCTTTCGATAAAAATTTACAAGCGTTTTCGGAAATTTTTAATAACGACGCTGTTGTTTTTCGATAACTTATTATGAAACTAATTAATTCTTTTAGTCACCGACAGTCGAATAGCGGAAAAATCATTAGTCTACATGGGCTCTAAATTAATGAAAGCTGACATGCTTAACAGCAGAGGTACCGTTTCAACTCCACATCTCTTCCTTTACATAAAAAAGGCTAATGTAAAAAAAGGCACTTAAGGAGCTAATGCTTAATCTCGGATTATCATCAGAACTGATACTACAACAGTTCAGAACATTATACTCAACTGTTACAGTTACATCGTAAGTCATATTTTTAGAATTTTGCTATATCAGAAAAATCCCAGTCACCACTTGAAAAAGGTCCACTGAACATTAGTAGTTTCTTCATGGTTTGCTTTAACAGCATCCTCTGCATAAGCCAGTTTTCTTCAGAAAATTCCTTTCATAAAGTAATTGTCTCCAAGTGCTTTTCTGTAAAAAAGTAACTTAATCTAATCTACCATTTTTTGCTGTCACTTTACTAGTATACACATGTCCCAAAATTCATAATTATTTTTTAATATTTAAAATTGATTTTTTGCCCCTTTCTCAGATGCCTATATGCAAGTTTCTGCCTGTTTATCGTTATTTGTTAGAGAGACCTGTAAATTTATTTAAAGTATATCCAGGAAAGTTTATATCTTGTAACAAACTCCCCCTTAAAATGCGTGCGTGGTTTAGTTTTTTTTAATTTTTAATCCACTATTTATTTTTCCAATTGTACAGGTAATTTGATGATCTTTCTGAAACTAAGCATGTTCTTATACTTTTCACGCACTGTCGAATACAGAACATCAACATACAAAATATTCATGATTGATCTAAATCATATATCCTCTAATTCTAATTATTAATTTCATAGCAATAAGAAAAATTAGACGAAACACTATTCATAATTTGATAATAATTATTATAGCATTTTAAAAAACATTTATAACATGTTAAAAAAATCTTACTCATAAAAAAAGTATTTTCTATTATAATAAGTCACTAACTAATAATGACAAAATGCTTACTGACGTTTGCTTGTAACGCATACGGAAAATATAATAGTTTTCAAATATTCAGTTCCTGTTGTTTTAAAATGCTACATAATAAGACATTTTTCTTAATGTTCGAATGTTCTTAATGTTTATTCTTAATGTCCTTAATGTTCCACATTTTTCTTAATGTTCAAATTTATAGCTTATAAATACAGACATATTTTGAGGTCGCAAATTCACAGGATAAAGCAGCAAGACATAAGCGTTCAGAATCTTTTAACGTAAATTTCATTAAATATTTTTTTTCATTCAGTTAGATATATTTTATAATGGTTTTGCTGTACGAAATGCGTTCAAATTAATTTGTATCCATGCTGATGCTGTTTATGAGAAGTTTATATAAGTCTATGGTGGCAACATAATTTTAGATACAATAACAGTTGCGTCATTTCCTGAAAAGAATAATAAATTAACGAAAAATGAATGACTCAACTCCTTCTGCCTTGCTGTAAAGTTGGTAGCTGTAGAATCGTATTCTCTAATCGTGTTCCATACTGTGAGGCAGAATCCAGACGCGTGAATGAACGGTTACGAAGGTCTCGTGGTTCTCATTTTGAGACAGGACACCTGCGTCTTCAGAATACCTGTCGTGTTTAGGGTGCATGGAATGTAGTTCGAGAAGACGTAAAAAAGCGTGGGGCCTACGCGGGTGTATTGCGGAACTCCTGCTCGGCTTGGTATTCTGGCTGGAAAGCAAAGGAGAATGTCCCTTCTAGATAAGAAAAAAGAATTTGTAAAGGCATGCCACGAATCCTGAGCTGTAATCTTCTCAAAATAGTTTCTTTCAGTCAATCTTAAAAAAACGAATGCTTTATATCAGAATATTAGCATAACAGAGATGTGATGTCATTCATGATTCAGAGTGAATAGAAATAGGATTCTTTCGCAAGTCAATCAGTTAATCTGATTAGTTCAGACGATATTCGAATTAGACGACGCCATTGATATTTAAATTAGACGTAACTCCGGCCCATACCCGACCTTTTCCATTGTCAATAGCGGTAATTTTGCTAATATATAAAGTTTTATGTAGACTTTTTCCCCCCTCTAATGGCGGGCACTTGCCTATGCCTGCATCGGTCACTCCTAAGTGCCAGATGTGGCACTCTTTATTATGGAGGCACATAATACGTGGGCCACCATAGCCTCATATGAAGGGACAGACAATTTTTGCATCCATGAATTCTCCAGGATTCGAACTCGGGCCCTTCGGTATCGCAGTCAGGCTTCCCTAACCGTCTGGGCGGCCGTTTTATTTAGACTTAAATTCATTAGATAAAATTTCATGTTAGTCTACTCTTTACGTCCTCGTTTTCCGCCATTTTCATCTCTAACTACAGAGATATGCAAGTTATAAACTAAAAATGACAGCGCTGTTATGTGATATGGAAGCGTAAACTACATTTAAAGTGATTCGTAATAGCTCCATGCATAAGAAATATGTTCATAGCGAATTACAGTTGCTCCATGCGTTAGAAACATACTTAAAGTGAATCGGAATAGCTTCGTGCGTAAGAAATACATTTTCTTGTATAAGAAACATATTGAAAGGGAATCGCAGTAGCTCCATTCGTAAGAAATATGTTCAGAGTGCGCAAGAAATGTTTTCAAAACGAATCACAATAGCTCAATGCGTAAGAAATATATTAAGACAAATACTGTAAAGACCCACTATTTGTATAACGTTTTTCTATTCCAGTTTTCATAATTAATGAAATTATATTTTACAAAGATGAGATGATTAATTAAAAGCTGTTAACATGCAGGAGTTTAAGATTTCAGGATGAAAGATATATTTGCTGTCATTTTCCTAAAAATAATCACTGAATCATGCGGCCAAAATTTGACTATATAGTCGAGAAAATGACAAATTTAGGTGGAAATGTATGCCTAAATAAATACTGATTGATTTCCTCTTATCCGAAATGTTAGCGGCGACAAGTGTTTCCATTTTTGTAATATCTGCATGCGGATAATGAAGTGGCTTAAGAATAGTTCGTGCCTAGAAAGAAAATTTCCTTTTTACTCCATATAGGCCTTATAAACATGCTGAATGGAATTTCATACAATATTTTTAGCATTTGCGTATACGAAACAAGGTTTGTGTATGTTAAACAGTCAGAACGCCGTTCACAAGGACACGCCTATAGTTATCTGGCATTTTCATCATTACATGACTAAATTAACATATTAACGAAATCATTACATGATACCAGATGTGGAATTTCCATATGTGACATTATAGCGAAGGTAAAAATTTTCTGATTCTGCAGCACTTGAGATCTTTCAGATTAGAAATGCTCAAATTTACCATACATTTGCTTGGCTACTGTGCTGCCATTAATATTCAATTGTGATTTCAAATAGATGGTTTTTAACTTTAGCTTACAGACAGAGGCAAAACTGCAAACAAACGAATTAAGTTTATTATTTATACGACAAACTAACAGTTACCATTTATTAAATAAAATTAAAGCTCTTCCACATTGCATAAAAAACAAATGAAGTTATAATACACATGTAAAATAACAATATCAGTAGTTCTAATTTCTACGACTTCCTCCCGCATAGCACTTTTAAAATAGTCTGCGGTGCAATTCCGCTTTTTCGTAACTAGTTATAAAAAATCAGATTTCAGAATGGCCGTTCCTAAATGACCCAATGACATTTTTAAAGATCCGCAATTATCCAATCACAAGCTATTCCACTTCAGTTACTTTTCAATTGCGATGCTATCAGCAATCACTTTACTCCCGTTACGTTCACAACCATCACAAATTCGTTTACGCGCTTCAGTGATGACAAAAACAAGGTCCGATGCACTGCGGTGAGAAAGTGTTAAATGATGCGTAGTTAGTTACCACACCGCCCAAACTTACTTTGGCTCTTGAAGAATGCCGGAGTGACTGTCTAAGGGAAGTAGCTTTTTGCCATATGGTCTGCCCTTCCTTGATCCTTGGACAGGCCATAGTGGACCCGTTCGAGCTGCTATCATTGTTCCCTGACCTGTAAAGACAAAGAGAAACGTTAGAGCGCGCGGAAGTTGAAAAGTTTCAAGCATCTCAAAGGGATGTTGCGCAAATTAAACAAAAATGGCACACATTTAACTCTTTTTACAGCAAGTAGGACAAAATGTTATCACTCTGTCGCATTTTGTCTCTGCCATCAAAAGGGACAGCCCCTGTCAGTCAGTGGCATACGGAAGCTAAATTAACTATAGTCTTTTATTATGATGTTTTCATTGTTGCATAATTTTCTAGCTGATTTATTTCATATAAAACGAAACTTCTACTTGACGCATAAATCTAATACCTGTTCACTTAAATATTTATGCTATGGGACTTTTTATATTTAATCATCTAATAAAGGAAATATATTAGATGACTATCGTATGGAATATGGCTTGAATTTCATTAAACAAAGTTATCAATATGCTATCAAATCAAAATGTTAAATAACAAAGAAATAAATTTATTATTGCAATTTATTGTCTTAGACGTAGTTTAAATAAATAACTAAAAAATTTTGAAATTGCTTCTTAATTTCATATTATTTAGGAAAAACAAGTATGATTAAAATATTTTGTATAATTTGCATAAGCATAAATCTTTTTTTTTTTTTTTTTTTTTTTATAAATTATTCTTTTCCAGTTGGCTTAGATGGCGTTTAAGCGCTGATGTCTATCTCATGACATTAATTCCTGTAATATGTTTTTTCATTTAATTGCTAAGCAAAAACTGCGAAAGCATAAAAAAAAATGCTCTCCCTTTCAAAGAATTCTGGTTCTGACTCATTCACAAAAATAATTTAACATTGGGGACGAATACTTAAAAGCATAATCAAATGTTCTAAACTGCATGAAATATAGTTAGACATCCACGATTCAATTAATGTAGTCTTTAAAATTATGACTCAACATAATAATTTGCATTAGGCAATCCTTCTTACACCATCTGAACTTGTCAAATTTTCACATGGTTTTGAAGCGCAAGAAAGGCTTTAAATACATGACTAACACAGCTGGTATCTAAACAGGATTCGAAAACGGGCCAGTTTTCTGCGATGTTTCGTAGTCGAGACCTTGCCTATCAAATTGTCAGATCTTTGCTTCGTATTTACTGGGTTGCTAAGAACAAAAGCCAGAGGCTATTGTGTTGATTTTCCAGGTGTTTCTTTAAAATTTACTTTTAAATTCAAGTTTAAAAGTACAAGTCTTAATTGAAGCTCGAACTTAAAGTAGTCTGAAAATGTGTACGCTTTTAAAAATAAATAAAAGAAGATGAGAAAAGTGTAGTGCACAGATGAAAGGTGGTCGTGTAATGAGATTTGTGATTTGAATTTTTTTAAAAAGGCGCAGTTCTCGCCACTTCTGCTTTTGAATATTGTCTTGCTTGCCTGTCGCGGTGTGTACCTTGAATACGAAACCGTGTCCCTTAGGAAATCTTCAAGGCAATTTACCCTTTAAACAGAATTCCCCGAATGTTTTGTGTGTTGAAGTAAACTAACTAAAAGTCTTGTCTATCACTGTGTTCATTATGTTTAAATACAACTTAAGAAGATGTAATAGACATTTCTTGCCCCTTCATCTGATTTGTTTGTTTGTTTGTTTTTAAATTGCAGAAGATGTATGTTCCACAATCTTTTTGTTCCATTTAAAGGATGAAAAATTGCTCATCTAAACATGCTTATTGCACTGGTTTGGTTTATTTACTAATTACGACAAAGCATTTGAGGCCCACCAGCGGCCGAGTGGTAAAGTCGCTGAACACTGGTAGTTCGGTCCGAGGTTCGAATCCCGCGAACGGGCTGGCTGCAGGGTGTTTTCGTGGTTTTCCCCATGTGTAACGTGTATACGAGCCAGTTTCCCTTAGAAAGTCCTCCACGAAAGGCATCCCTCCTCTTTGGCAGATAGCCCTAGTGTGCTTTGCCGTAATTAAATACACCACACCACCGACAAAGCATTCCAGGACTGTCTACTTAAGAGAAGGATTGCCTTCACGGAAACCTTTCTTAGGGAAAATGGTTCGTATACACTTTTACATGTGGGAAAAAATATGGAAACGCCCATGCACCCAGCCTTTTCATCGAGATTCGAATCACCAGTGTTTAGTGACTTTACCGCTCGGCCACTGGTGGACCTGCTGATTCCACTGAAATGCTTAGATTTCAAACGCTACTAACGATAAGACCCAAGATACATTGCAGAATTATAAAAATCTACGTATTATACCAAATATGCATCCATGACATTGAAAAAAAGCTTTATTTGGGTCAGTGAAAGTGATGATTTGACTCTTTAGTTCGCTATACTTGATTCCACTTCAAGATTTATTTCTTTGAGGATTACTAACAAATCCTTTCATTTACGTACAGTAATTCGAAATAGTTTTTGAATAAAACAACACAGAAATTATCATGTCATGTGTTCAGAGACTAAATATTTATTAATCATTAGATACTAAACCCTGGACTTTTGCATGTACCCTACCATTCACAAGAAAGCCACCAGGGTATAGTATAAAATTCTGTTGAAAAAATAGAATAGCTTTACCTTCAGACCAGTACCATATGTACCACGGCAGTTTGAACTACCTAGGTCTCATCTCAAAAAGATCACTTTAAAACAACTGATAGACAGATGGCAAGCCAGATGGGACACAGCAGATACAGGAAGGAGAACGTATATGTTCTTCCCAAAAACAACGCTAGAGTTAAACTGCAATAGTGGTAGTCAGACACAGTTTTATACAGGTCATGGCCCATTCCTGACCTATCTGCATAGATTCAGCCTGAGTGACACAGAAAGATGTCAATGTGGAGAGGTGGGGGATCCAGACCACTACGTCTTCCACTGCACAAATACGGCACAGTACCATATAAGAAAGCCAAGTCAAGCTTACTGGCCACAATGGGCGGCAAATATGAGAACAAACAAAACAGCAAATAAAAAGCTACAAGCGGTAATCAGCCATTGTCAGAGAAAGTATTCTCTAATACGACGATAAGTGTCCCCAAATAGAAATAATCAAGTGCTTAGCGCTCTGAATCATAAAATGTATAAATCACACTAAATCAATCTGGGCACACACCTCGTACCTCTCAACCCAAGACTAACTTAGATAATTAGGACTATGGCAACAACCTGCCTATATTCTTTATAATGTTTACTTTTGCAATTAATGTACAGGTCTAGGACTCGCAAGACCAGATCGTGCCAGTAAAATCTTCAACAGCAATGAGTTTTTCCTACACTTATTAATCGTGTATTTAAATTACAAGTTTGTGATAAATAGGTTCAAGAAGGGCAAGGTCAACTTATGTTATCACCTCAAGTTTATGAATGATATTATTATTGGTATGGCATTTTTGCCTTCTTAATTTTAATAAATATTCAACTTTTTATGCAAATCTTAGGGAAGAAATATCTGTATTTATGTGATCAATTGCATGTTTGAATCTCTTCCCTAGTGATCAGCATTACGTGCTTAATTATGTTTTGTATAAATTATGTGCATGTTCTAAGGTGATAAAACTAACTATGGAATTAATGTAGGTAAGTTTCTCTTTGTAATTATGTATCAGCATTATGTATTCAAGTGTTTGGAATCAGATATCAGTTTTACTGAGTATGGTGCTGTACTTTTCTGTTTATGTTCACTTTAAAGTACTCAAGTCTGTATTTATTCCTTCTCAGCATGTACTATGAAGGTCAGTTCGTACTTGGCTAGGATTTAGACTACATAGCATTACTTAATGATCAGTTTTATGCATTATGCTTATCAGTTTTCATGTATTATGTATGCAGGCATTAGGGATCAGCTTTCTGTATTTCTGTACTCAGTATCATGTTAGTTTTTCACTTTAATATTCAGTTTTGTACTTATGTATGTATTATCCTGTCTGCAAGTACTACGAAAGAAAATGTAGGTGAATGGTTCAATTTGTAAAAACAACTACAGTTTAAGTATGCGCAAAGAACTAAATTATGCAGGAATTTGTTATCTTAGTGATAACAGGTACACAATCTTTTAAATGTTCTTACATAAGAGTCAGGCACATGGAAAGTAAACTGCGTTAAATTATGTTTGGGCGCTAGGATTTTTTTAATCATCTTTTAATCTCTCTCTTATTATTTTTTTTTTTTATTTATTTTTTTTTTAAGTTTACTATGTGCAATAATTTAATAGGTTACAAATTTCCTCCATGCAGGACCAACGATTTCACAGAAGCCCCATAAAGATATGACGGTTGTGTCACGATAAGCACCCGCATGTAGACATTTAGCAAGTCCAGAAAATCCACGGCAGTTAATTTTTCAGGCAAAGTCCTTCTATCTTTACTTTATCTAACACAAGTTTCTGTCTATTCTAACAGGGATTCTTAACAGTCTTTTGATTGCTTCTTTGCTTAATTTTAAGTAGTTCCTAACAGGATACTCTTTCCCCGTACAACAACATCTAAGCTTATATGTAGACTATATGAGGCTCTTAGCCGTCTATTCGGCTGCGTTCCCGGAGCAGGATGGAGCAGAGAGTAGATGGTTTCTGCCAGGAAGATATCACACTGTGAGGCTAAGGCCAGGTCAGTGGTCTTCCTTGGTGGCGCTCACTCACTCACTATTTTATCGGTCTCTTCTTTGGTAGGTATTTTGAGGTGGGGGGGGGGAATTTCTTTAAATTGTAAGTTTAATTCAATTACTTTTTGTACCAGTAGTAAGGCAAGTTACAGTTAATTATTGCGAAGCTGGACGTGCTTTCTTAATAAACCTTACAACGGTTGATGATATCGCAAACAAATAAGTTACAGTTTAAAAGAAAACAATAAATAATTCAAGCATGTCGATATGTATTGAGATGGATAACACAATATTGTAAGATATTAGCTACGGCTTAACAGAAAGTCAAAAGACAAGCTTTGCTGAGCATCATGGAACAATACGTTTGAACCTTAAAATAAAAACCCGCGATCGGGAACCTGCTGCCAACCGTGAAATAGCATTCCAAACC